GTCTTTTTACGCGTTGCGTTGCATTGCATCGCGCCGCGTAAACATAAAACTCTGCATTTGTGATCAGAGAAATGACAAACAACAAGTGCTACTCCACACTGCCCAAAACTCGCGTTTGAATCATCAGTAGCAAATCCTTTAAATGAAAACGTACTTACGTGAGTCAAAACTGCCAGAACTGAGTAACGTTAGCCGACATTTTAGTCTAACGTTACTCTCCCAGGATCAGTAAATAGTCCTCCATAAAATGTGCTGCACACATCTGGATATTTGGGTTAAACTGTTCTGGAACAGTGTTGTAAATACAACTTAACAACTGATTTGTAGTCGTGTCCTCTTTTGGAAAACCAAACAAAGTAGTTTCGCTTTCACAACGAAAAACACAGCGGCCTAGCGGAAGCCCCGGCTTATCATGAGCTGAGGCCGGGCTAAAGTGAGCTGAGGCCGGGCTAGAGTGAGCTGAGGCGGCGGGGTTGAGAACGGCGCAGCTGGCGGATCCGACGAAGGAGCGGCAAGCACATGTGGCGACCCCGGGCTTCGTCCACGGTGAAAGCCGATCCGGCGATCCACAGCACTAAGTTGATGTATTCCCTCAGCGACCAGCACGGATCAGCTCTAGACATGACGAAGCGCCAAAGACCAAATAAAGTAGTTTCGCTTTCACAACTTCAGGACATGGCGGAAAGCGGCAACAATACTACAGTGAGAATAAAAGTTACGCCTTCTTTCTTTGCGTAAACATTTGGGCGGCGTTATGCAAATCTTCCCACATAGTGATGTAGATATGTGGGGGCGTGTTAGAACGAGCCGTTTTAGGTAGGTGTGGCTGACTCTTAACTTTTATTAAGAATATCTCTTTGGATTTGAGACTTTAGTCTTTGCAACTTTACAGATCTTATTTATGCACCAAGAGCTTGTAACACTCCAAAGAGAAAGGAAAAATTTAAATCACATCATATGACCCCTTTAATGATGAGTGCCAATATATTCTTTTAACATCATATCAAAATGTTGCAACAGCTGACATGAGGCCTATACAAAAAACTATTAACTAATGCAGTTATATTATGTTCGAATATTATACTGTGGAGTTTTCCACAAAAATAAAGTCTGTTAAATACATTATAACACTGATTATGTCCTACTTTTTTCTACATACATTATTCAAATTCCTTCAGAGTTAACACAAAAATTTCAATAAATTCTTTTTCAGAACATCCATGTCTCTATCTGTGTCAACTTTCCCTGGGTTTTACTGTCGAATTTTGGAGAAAATGAAAGTCAAAGTCTATCACAATGCATTGTAGCACTGACCATTCCTTGCCATTTACACAGGCATTATTCAAATTGCTTCAGAGTTAACATGAAAATTTCTATGAATTATTTTTCAGAACGACCATCCCTCTATCTGTCAACTTTCACGAGATTTTGCTGTAGAATTTTAGAGAAAATGAATGGCATAGTCTGTCACAATGCATTGTAGCAGTGACCATTCCTTGACATTTACACAGGCATTATTCAAATTCCTTCAGAGTTAACATGAAGATTTCTATTCATACTTCTTCAGAACGCCGAGATTCTGTCTGTGTCAACTTTCACGAGATTTTACTGTAGAATTTTAGAGAAAATGAATGGCAAAGTCTATCACCATGTATTATAGCCCTGACCATTCCTTGACATTTATACAGGCATTATTCAAATTCCTTCAGAGTTAACATGAAAATTTCAATGAATTCTTTTTCAGAACAACCATCTCTCTATCTGTGTCAACTTTCACGAGATTCTACTGTATAATTTTAGAGAAAATTAATGGCAAAGTCTGTCACAATGCATTGTAGCAGTGACCATTCCTTGACATTTACACAGGCATTATTCAAATTCCTTCAGAGTTAACATGAAAATTTCTATTCATACTTCTTCAGAACGACCATCTCTCTATCTGTCAACTTTCACAAGATTTTACTGTATAATTTTAGAGAAAGTGAATGGCAAAGTCTGTCACAATGCATTATTGAACTCCTTGACATTTATACAGGCATTATTCAAATTCCTTCAGCGTTAACATGAACATTTCTATTCATACTTCTTCAGAATGCCCAAGACTCTGTCTGTGTCAGCTTTCACGAGATTTTACTGTAGAATTTTAGAGAAAATTAATGGCAAAGTCTGTCACAATGCATTATAGCACTGACCATTACTTGACATTTATACAGACATTATTCAAATTCCTTCTGAGTTAACATGAACATTTCTATTCATACTTCTTCAGAATGCCCAAGACTCTGTCTGTGTCAACTTTCACGTGATTTTACTGTAGAATTTTAGAGAAAATTAATGGCAAAGTCTGTCACAATGCATTGGTTTTACTGTCGAATTTTGGAGAAAATGAAAGTCAAAGTCTATCACAATGCATTGTAGCACTGACCATTCCTTGACATTTACACAGGCATTATTCAAATTGCTTCAGAGTTAACATGAAAATTTCTATTCATACTTCTTCAGAACGCCAAGATTCTGTCTGTGTCAACTTTCACGAGATTTTACTGTAGAATTTTAGAGAAAATGAATGGCAAAGTCTATCACCATGTATTATAGCCCTGACCATTCCTTGACATTTATACAGGCATTATTCAA